CTCCGTCCGTGCGGCGCTCGCTGCCCCGCCCAAAGGTTCCGGCCGGCGGCGCCCCGCGCGAAGGTTCCGCCCACCGGATGCGGGGCAGCTCCAGGCTGGGAAGGGCCGGGATCGGCCGGGATGGGCCGGGATCGGCGGTAGCGGAACGGAGCGTCCAGCGCGGCTTCACCGGCACCCCCGGGGCCGCGGCTCCCGCTTACAGCGTGTAATGACAACGGGAACGCCGCTCTATCGCCACGAACGCGTAAAATTCAGAGAACGTAACATATGCAACGCGTTAAGAGAAATACAAAAATAAATATATAATGTATGCATAAATATAATACATATAATATATAAAACATGCTTATATACACATATTTTATATAGATAGAGATATAATTTATACATACATATGTGTACATAGCAGATATGAAACATATCTAACGTATTTACAACATGTACACAGTGAGAGAAGAATGTCCAGAAGAAAGGTGAAAATTACAACATTTATTGTCTAATAGCCGTAATTAACTCAAAGTTTTGGCAATTTCTCTTCAGCCCTTGTGCTCTAGAGCCAAGATTTTCCAGCAACAGGACAAGAGGAAATGGCCTCAGGCTGTGCCAGGGGAGGTTCAGGTGGGACATCAGCAGGAATTTCTTCAAGGAAGAAATTATTTTGATTTGATCAGGCAAGTCCTCCCTTTCATGCTGCTCCTGCAGGCTTTGATGGTAAAAAAGATTATAATCTTCTAGAGGTTTTTGTTTTTCAGTTCATGTTCACCATTGTGTTCGTTCATTCCTGGAGGAAAATACTTGGGACCCTTCTGGTTTTCTTCCCACTCCTGAAAATAAAGGGACATCTGTTTTGCTGCAATTAAGGAGAAATGCAAACACACACACACACACACACACACACACGAGGAAAAGCAGCTCAAAACTTACGTTTTATCACTGCTGTGGTGGCAACCTCTGAAAAAACTCCCGTGGAAAAATACCTTTTAAAGATGTGGGGAAGTGCAGTGTTTCAGAAGCCAGCCAGGGTCGTGGCGATGCAGAGGGTGTGGATTGGAATGGGCTCCTGTTTAGCCAAATATTGAGGGATTGTGATCAGGATTGTGACTGAATTTGGGATTCCTTCCCAACGTTCAGGTGGGCTTTCCATTCACAGCTCCAGTGAAATGGACTGGCTGGAGAAAAAATGGGGTTATACTGGAGGGAAAAGGTGGTTTGGTGGCAGCTCTGTCCCCAAGCCCTTGGCATGCCTTGGATCATGGGGAGTGCTTCCCACATAAAGACAGATCCAGGAGGTGGAAACATGAATTAAAACTCAGACATAGAATGAGTTGGGATGGCTGGGAACCTCAATCCAGCTCATTCCACCCCGTGCCATGGGCAGGGACACCCTCCTCAATATTCCAGGTTGCTCCCATCTGGCCTTGGACACTTCCCAGGATCCAGGGGCAGCCACAGTTTTATCAGTTTGGGGTTTGCAGCTGGAGGAAAGGGGGAGTGAGGAAATCAAGGGGGCCGAGAGGGACCCCTGTGCCTGGGAGAGCACAAAGTTCTCTTTGAGGCCAGTGTTGGCACAAGGGTAAATGGATGCAGACCAGTCCCGAATATATTTACCCTGAAAACCAGGAGAAGGTTTTCAGGAGCCGTTCTGGGAACGGCTTCGCAGTGGGAATAGTGGTGGCAAAACATCTCAAGATGCAACTCAATACGTTTCTGAAAGGAATTATATAATAGAGCATTTGCAAAGGCTGGAGGCTGCAGCAGCCTGGGAAATCCCTCCACCTTATGTCCCACTTTATTTGGAGCCCTTAAAGGTCGTTTTCCTGCAAAACATGAACGCTGCTAATTCCCAGAAAGTTACTAGAGTAAGAAGAGCCTTGTACAATGGGCTTTATCTCCTAATATTTTAAAGAGTTACAGAGAGTGATTTAGAGATTTACAAACGGGACTTTCTCCCTGCCAGGGTAATTATGATCAGTGTGGGAAGCAGAACGGAGCGGGACAGAAAGCTCCATGGAAATACCACGGGCTGCTGGGCCAGACGGCCTGACCTGGGGGGACTGTCATGTCCCCGTCCCCGAGCTTGGCTACCCCGAGGACATCAGAAGGAATTTCTTCATGGAATGGGTGCTCAGGCCTTGGCAGGGACTGCCCAGGGAGTCTCCGTGCCTGGAGGTGTCCAAGGAAGGGTAGGACGTGGCACTCAGTGCGCTGGGCTGGGGACAAGGTAGGCATCGGGAACAGCTTGGAGTCGATGATCCTGGAGAGCTTTCCCAACCCTAATGATTCTGCGATTCCGAGGGCAGCAGGTGGCCGAAAGCCCCCTTCCCGGTGGCTGCAGGGGGCGACAGGCGCTCGCTCACCGCGGCTTCTCCGCTCCACGCCAGCCCCGGGGGGCGTGAGGGGAGGAAGGCGAGCTCCCTCAAGACGCCGGGCTGACCGCCCCCCCCCCTTCCTTTTTCCCGCGGGGCCGCACCGAGCTCGTTCTTTCCCTTGCTTCTTCCCGCCCAGCTCGGCTGAAGAAGGACGAGAGGCGGGCGAGCGGGAATCCCGGGGGCTCTGAGGGGCTCGGGGGGCCCCAGGACCGCGCGGGCCCCTCACGGCCCCTCACGGCCACTTCCGCCCGCGGGGGAGGCGCCGCCGCGAGTGCCCACGTGACCCAACGCAGCACCACCGCGGCCGTCTCACTTTACCGCCCGTATCCCTCCGCTCGCAGCCCACCCCCCCCCTCTCC